CACATACAAATTTAACGAATACAAGCAGTATTTTACTGTCAACTACGACTGGCAGCTCAAATCATCTGATTACAACGGCAACGTTTGAGAGCTTAACATTACATTCATCGACCGAAGTTACTGCGGCTATATCACCTATTTTTACTGGTAAGCTCATTTCTGGTAACCTGTAAAAAAACCTTGTCAGGGTGGCACGTTCGGTACCAAAAGGTGAAACTTTCCATACTGATCAAGATGATCAAGATAGGTCAATAAAAATCAGCGAGAACGATGCTTAGAAACGAGTCGCTACTATTGTGTTTTATTACGGGAAACTAAAAATGAAAATTATTTATTTGTATCTCATCAGAAAAATATTATTTACTATTTTCGCCTCTACTCTATTTTACAAAGCGGAAATATGCGAATGTGCTACTTTCTACTTAAGGAATATCTCCGCGTCAGGCAATTCTTCATCGAGAAGTTAAATTAAAAATTACTTGAAATTTCTCGGTGAATGTAAACAAATATTCAACTTCCTTCCCTCTTCTCTCTCTCTCTCTTATTTTCGTTATGCGATATGTAAACTAAAATCCCATCACTGCAGTTAGTCACACTTTGCATTATCAATCAAAAGTCAAGTTTTTCTTATATGCTTCCATCAAAAATACGTTTCGAGATCTTTGTTTTTTCAAGATAGATTTTTTACAGGTTCTTTTGGAAAAGGCTGCCATTTACTAAGTTTGAAGTAGTAAGATGTTTGTTAAACCCACATAAACATGTCTTGATCTTTTCATAATAAATAATTTAAATTTTATTCGTGGAGTTAGTGTTTTTTGCCTAAAGTGTGCGAAACATGTGATCAGACGCCTGTTCTTGCTAAGATAGTTTCTACTGTCAGTGTGGAGACATATCCCGATTGGGATATCATGTTTTGCAGCAAAATTTTTTTTATACCCCGAACGGGATATAGTTTGAAATTATATCCCGATCAGGATATAATTCGATATCCCGATTGGGATATGAAGAAAATCTATATCCCAATCAGGATATCAAGAATTTTAATTTTTAATTTGTAAGAAAATGATAAATTTTAATTATATGAGAGCTGAATATTCTTCTCCTTCTTTATTTATTTTATTTTATTTTTTGTTAGTTAATGTAATTTCTTACTTCCACATTAACATGTTTCTCATCAAATCTAATTAGTTTAAAAGGAGTGTTGCCGTGTCAGACAATATGAGTATAAATGCCGCAACGCCTGGAATGATGATATTCTCTTGGCATCTTCAGAAATGCTGGCTTCACGACTGATATACGTTTTAAAAGATACAGCAAGTTATGATTCATTTATAAAGAACATAAGGCAGTTTATCTGCAAGAACGGATAGTTAGAAAATTCCCCGTTAAACACAAAGCACGTATATTTATATATTGTCGACGCATCGAAAAGGAAGAAATAAAAAAACACGGTCGACGTGGAAAGCGATTAGATCAAGAGTATATCCCATTATGAGCAATAAAAGATTAACAGCCTAGTTTCCGATCGGGATATAAATTCGACTAAAATTTGTTAAAGCTTTGTATTCGAAAAAATAGTTGCTGGGCGCTTGATACACTTTTGATCAAACACAACAGAATCCGATGTAGTTTTTCGAGCTTTTTCTAATGGTGACGTCAATTTTACCCCAAAATGTCGTCATTCCCCCTTAATCGTTTTTACGACGAAATTTCATGTTTTATATCCCGATTGGGATACTATTTTTTTTCTATATCCTGATCGGGATATAGCTATATGCCGATCAGGATATAGGAGGTGTCCCTTACTGTCTATATACTGCAGTTGTAGCGAATTTTGAACGAAGTTTCATTTACAAAAATTTTCTCGGATGGGCTTAACACTTTTTCTAGTGACGGGCCGAAAGAGGTACGTCACAAACAACAGAAGAAAGTAGAAATTTCACTACAACTGTAATGAAAGAACTACGTAATTTTCTTTCATTTCTTCTAGGAAATAACGTATATTCCACCGCAGTCGCGAAGGAAAGGAAAGACATAATCGGTAAATCGAAAGAAAATTACCCAATTCGTTCGTTTCTTTCATTTCGCGATATATCGGCCTATCACTACTTTTTTCAGTGTAACGGAAAGGTTCTGAGAAAAATGAAGTTTTCAGCTTTTAAATCATTTTAAATTCTTAAATTTCATTTTTCTCAAAGCTTTTCGTAACTGAAAAATGTATTATACTCAGTACCCCATTAGGCACCGAAGGAAGAGTTTTGTTAGCAAAAATCATTTTCCACTGTACCTCATTAAGCCACAATCTGTGATAAGATTTTAGTATGGTAAATTCCAGAAGAATGAGCCGCTCACCTTCTGATTGAGTGTCTGCTCCGAATATAATCAAGTGTGAACACGACAAATATCTTGTAGAAAAATTGTCAGAAAGAAAATTTGTTTAAAAAAAATGACATTTATTAAGTTGAACGGACAGTCAAATTTCAAAAGCAGATTAAAAGATTCATTTCTACAGGTTGTCTTCTGGAGTTTTTGAGTCATCTATATAATCGAAAAATTTCTCGGGTGAGCATTTCATTATCATAGACATTACTCTAGCTAGTCGTTTACCATGACTTCATTAACAGTACAAACAGGTGAATAAAGAACTAGATACACTTTTGACGAAAGTTAAGGAATTGAAAACTCAAAAAATGTATCTAGAGTCAAATGTGTCGTTTTTAATTGTCTTGTCGAAAATGAGCATAATTAGTGCTCTCATCTAGATCATTCAATTATTCTACCAGTGTAAAATACCTATTTGATAAAGCCTTCTGCATTCTATTCGATTGCTTGATTCGTCATTTTTTTCTGAAAACAAGATTAAAAAATCAACTTGTTTTATCAAATATAAGGAGCATCTAACAACTCTGAAATAGTCGGTTTGAAGTAGATTCATTCGCAGTAGTTATGAGTTATTTATCCAGATGACCTACTTCGTTTTCCCGATTTTTTGCAGGGAGATTACTTTTAATCCAGCATATAATGATATTCTTGTTCTAGGAAATATCAACATTAGAATCAAGTCTACCAAATGAAGTGTATGACTTTATTTTTCTCTATTTAAAATCTGTTGATATTATTTATTCATTTTTCAATTTAAATGATCGTTTTAATCATCTTATTTATCCATTTTTATGTGCAATAGATTTATCCGATGCCGACGAGTATTCGTTGAACAAATATTATCAAACAATTTTACCAAAAATTCATCATTATATCAAAGCAATCAAAGTTGATGATAAAAATGTTGACTTTGTGTTTCCATTATCGTTATATTCAAAAATATATCCGAATCTTGAATCAGTTTTTATAACGAAAATTAAAAAGGATGGAAAATATTTATCATATTTAAAATTGTTTAAACAATTAATAAGTTTAAAAATTGATTTTGATGAATCGGAATATCAGGACACTGTATCAAATGAGTTGTGTTCAAATCTATTTCAATCTGATTGTCGACTACATACATTAGTTTTGGATAATGTTTACTTATCTATTAATACTCATATCATTCAACTATGTTTTTCTATTAGAAACTTGACAGTACAACTACATTCTCTCGATAAGGTATATGTTCTGTTAAACAATTTACCTTCAATCGAATATGTAAATATTCATATGCCGCCGATTAGGGGGCAGCACCACCACCAACAACAACAAAATGACGTTGAATTTAATTATGATAAAAATATTCCTTCAACATTATCAAAATTAAAACATTTTGTATTCTCCTCTGAATTTAGTGCTAATTATGATTATTTAGAATTGCTATTATCTCATTGTTGCCCTAATCTAGAACGCTTATCAGTGGATTTATATAGTCATGAATTTATTGATGGTGAACGTTTAGAAAAAAAGTTATTATTAAAACTAACAAAATTGAAAGTATTTCATTTTTGTTTTCGTATTCCAGTTCTTGATAACACATTGAACATAGACGATTATATCCAAACATACAAATCATCTTTTTGGATTAATAATCATCATTCGATTTTATGTTTTAATCAACCGCTACATAATCAATATTATTGTGTATTTTCATTACCCTATGCGTTCGAGAGATTGTCATGTGTTACAAATGATCTCGTTAACTATCGATCGAATGTCAATGATGACATTTCGTTATACAGTAACCAAGCAAAAGACATCGCTTTCTATGATAGAGTTCCATTTACATTAGAATTATTCCAAATTATTCAAAAATCATGTTTAAAAGCAACAGGACTAACATTTATTGTAGCTTCTATTCGTTTTTTCAGTGATAATTTAATGAATAATGAATTGATATTGGAAAACATCGTTGACGTGTGGTTATTTCTCGATCAATTAAAATATAAATATTTCAGACGATTACTATTAATGACACCAAACATTCTAAGATTATTCATAGTAGAGAGCTTACTGTTAGATATAATAAGTGAATCTCAAACCAAACCAAATGCTTTTCAAGAATTACAATCAATATGTAATCCTATCAGACATGTCTTTATCGGCAGAGGTGCATACGAATATGATGCCTCAAAGGATAATGGTAGAAAACTGTTATTTCCAAATGCTATACTTTCAGGATGGTAATATTAATACGTTTCTACAGGCCGAAGTTTGCATTTGTTTTGAAAGAAAGTAGACTTCATTAATGAATAAACAATCACTTATTTTCATCGCATCTAGTGTGATTAGTGCAGTTTATATGATCTAGCTTCATATTATGTTTTATTTTTTGTGATATTTCGGCCCTACATCAATCACTTTCAAACGCAACTGAGAGGAAAAAATGAGAGAAGGATCGAGTATACAAATTTGGAAATACCGTGCACATTCCAAAAGAAAGTTTTAATGAACATGAGCTTGAAGTGCTACTTTATATGTTTCAAGTTTTTAACTATTACCGTTCATGAGTTTTTCTACCTAAGTTCTATCGAACGCCTTCTCTAGATCCAATGTTACAAGAACAGAATCAATGGAAGAATTCACGTTTTCATAAAGATGATGAAGACGAAACAAGAGCGCGTCAATTGTAGAAGATTTCGGTAGAAAACCAAACTGAACAGAAGAAAGAATGAAAACTTAAAAATCCAAACAATTGGTCAAAAATAAACCTTTCAAGGACTTTACTTATAACGCATAATAATGACACTGGTCGATAATTCTCTACCGTGCATTTTGAACCTTTCTTATGAATAGGACACACTATAGCGTTTTTCCAAATGGACCGAAATAATCCATCTTTGAGTGAAACAGAAAAAATTCGATGTAACTGTGATGTAGAGACTGCCGCTGTCGCCTTGAGAAATTTAACCGAGATAACATCAGAGCCAGCTGCAGTATCGTTTTTAAGAGAAGAAATACCTGAAAAAATATCTTCAACAGATCGAATTTTAAATATAAAGTTATCATCTGTTTTTCGTTTGCTCGATGGATTGGGCATAGGACCCTGTTTTGGCTGAAAACATCGATCGAAATGTATAGAAAATAAGACGAGTTTGTGTTGGCTGTATTTTTTTTCACATAAATCGAAAAGTGTAGCAGTATCTAACAGAAGACGGAGGTTAGAAGGATTGTCAGTAGGATCACTGTTAAAATCGTCAGCTAAAATTAACTGATCAATAGGCTGAGGAGATAAATTTAACAATAAGTGATCTAGTTTCTCAAAGTAGTCATAAGTTGTTGGAAAAAACTTCCGTCTCGCCGCGGGATTCCGGATAAGAGCAGCATACAAAAAAAACTGAAGAACTAGAAAGGATTTTTACAACAACAGATTCAGTGATAGGATCGGACGCAACTAACGAGTGAGATAACAGATTTGAGACATAAACTATCACTCCTCGGGGGTGATATGCGTCCTTTCTAATACGGTCTTGCCTGTATGCAGAGTAGCCCACAATGGCAAACTCGGCATTGTCATTGTCCGGTGTCAAGAATGTCTCTTGGATACAAAGTACATGTAGCTTTTGATGATATACAAACTGTCTCAATGAGAAAATTGAGGCCTTCAATATTGTGGTTGGATAAGAGAAAAGAAGACGATGTATGCGATGGTGGTGGAGGACGACGAATGGTATTTGTAGAGGTAGTAGAGGAGACGAGTTTGTTGGCCACACGACGGTTCTTCAACTTCACACAAGAAAAAACTTCAAAAATGCATAACTTTTTGAAGAAAGATTGTGAAATGCTGGGAGTGGTCTCATTTTGTAGCCCACACGTTCCACTACATAAAGCCATCCTCAGCTCAAAATCCAATATTTTGTCAAAAACGAGGGATGGTGTGGGGTATCCTTATTGGTGACGTGTTATTATCCTTTGTGAACTCTAGCGTACAAATCTGTAGGTACCATACAAAATCTGTGAGTATCAAAGCACCACCGTCCCGATGGTGCCGCCGCTCCTGCTTCTACAGTTTCCAACGAACATTGTTTTTTTGTATACATTCCACGTTTAGATCCGAATACAATATTAAACTGAAGCAAAATGAACAGTTCAATTATTGGTCAAATGCTTGACAATCAAGCATCTCATAGATCTAAAGATAGATAGATCTTTCTATATAATTTGTAGACCATGTCTTCTCAATATACCATATATAGATAGATCTTTCTCTTTCTATGTACTCATTTCTTCTTTGTGCTAAATATAAACCGTAGAACTTTAAAAGAACTTATTAAAGATTAGCTATTTTCAAAAGCGTTGACAAAAGAATTCTTGAGTACAGTAACTGCAGCTACAAACGTTTTTATTCAATTTCTTTCAACTAGGTAAAAACGATAAACGTCAAAATGAATCGAAACATGAACAAATCTCTTCGTCCATTTATTACAGTTAAACAAACAGGGAAGAGAACAATTTCAACTTATCCTGAATAAAATTGAAAAGATCAAATTCCAGGAAGAAAAAATTAAGCATCAACAACAACATTCGACATCGTCGAGTTATCGTTCAACAAAGTTCAATCGTTCATCAACGATTTGTCAACCACATGGTCAACTGAAAACATGGTGATACATCAATTTTAACAATGAATCAAAATAAAAAAATTTTCGTTTGTATAACAAATATATTAGTGAAATTTAAATAAATATTATAACGTTCCGCTATCGTTTGAATTGTTAGACGAGTTGCAGAGCTATTGGCAAAATCTTGTCGAACAAACGAGTAAAAAGCCCATATTTTTTTCTTACATGATTCGCACATGATGAAATATGTCTTTGACACTTGAATTTGACAGAGAATTTCGTTATAAATTTCTAATGTAAGAAAAGTTGCCGTGTTTGATACATGTGTGAATTTCGCGCGTTTTCCAAAAACGAAAGCTGATCAAAAAGTTTTGGAAAGTCCATTTTTCGTAGATTATAAAACACTACTTTAGATCGATTAGAAACTCTTTTAAAGGGAATACAAAGTCAATAGCATTTTGTCCTGAAACTTTGAATCTGTTCATTAGTTAAATCTTTAAGTCTCCAGTAGATTTTATCTAGAATGTAGGAATTATTTACTGTTTCGTAAAAGCATCCAAGCATGTTGTTACCTCTATGCAATAATCTTCGAGCAATCAAACTATAATATTTTTGATATGTTAATAGATACATAGCTTTACGTTTTTATTATACTAATATACAAAACAAAAAGAAATAAGAAAATTAGAATGGCATCATTGCCCATTTTCCTTGACGTTTATGATATCGAACTCGTTCATATTTATACCAATCTGGGAACCATTTTTCATTTGGTACAGCTACAAGATATTTGGAAATCTTTGGATAACCATTAAATGGACATGTAACTTCTAAATAATGTTTAATCACTTCTTCGTTAACATCTTTTCGATCACGATATTGATCCAAATACCAATTGAATGGTTTATATTCAACAGAAAATTCTTGTGGTGGCAAATGACGTGCTTCAAAATCAAACTCATAATGAGGCTCTTTCATTTCTACAATTAGAAAGACCAAGAAGTGTATGAAGAAACGAATAAAAAATCAGTATTTTTTTTCTTACTTAGCACATGATGAAATACATCTTTGACACTTGAATCCCAATGACATTGAAAAAATGATAAACCAATTGGTCTTAAATAATTATGCATTTTATCGAAAAATTCAGATGTTCGAAATGTCCTCTTCTCAAGACTAACGCTAGAATAATTTTAAAAACATCGATATATGTGATTAAAAACTATTATCAAAAAAGAAAAATGAGCTTTGTCATACCTTTCGCCTGGTAGTTGTTGATATTTTTCTGTAAAATTAATTTTTTCGTTTTGTTTGTATAAAACAAAAACACATCGATGCCATCCTGTACCATTGGGTGGAAAAGGTGGTAGATACGAACACAGCGTTTCACCTTTGTCGATTTGAGAACCAGGAATATTACCACTAGAGAAGAGAAACGTCATACAAATGAAATTCTATAAAAAGTCAAATAGACGATACGTACACAAACCAATGTAAAACTTCTGAATCATCTTGTTGAAGATGACCATCTAAATTTGTAAAGACCAATGTAAATAAATCTGTTTCATTCGGACTAGTGAATTCAACAAACGGTTTTTTACTAGCCTAAACAAATATATTAGTGGAATTTAACAAACTTTTATATTAGACCAGATTTGTTATTACATCTTTAGCATAGAGTCTGTTTCCTGAAAAAACAGGTGTGACTTCATCATTCTGATATGGATAAACTATATTTAACATAATTTGTGGTATAAAATAGCCATGTTTAAATAAATCTTGATAAATATTATAATGTTCCGCTATCGTATGAACTGTTAGACGAGCTATAGAACTATTGACAAAATCTTGTCGAACTTCGTCTAATGGCAATTGTACTAAAGTTGAAAAATGAGTATTTTTCTACTAGAGAAAAACGAGGACTACTCTTACGTGTGCCATCATAATGTTGTTTTTTTAAATCAGCACGTTCTCGTTGAGCAGTATAGTGTGCTATACGTTTTTTATGTTCTTCTTTGCGCAGTTTTTCGTTAATGGGAATGTGGGGAACACCAATATTGACACTTTTCACATTTAAAGGATTTGGATTATATTCTAGAAGAGAACGTTATAAAATCTCGTTGTTAAACTCAGATATGTTTGTCATTCGACTTCTAACAGTACCTTTTTTCCTTTCTGCTAATGTTTTAAGTTCCATATCTTTCGTGTATGTCTCATCATGATGTACCTCAAATTGTCCTCGATGTCTGTATGGATATCGTTTTCGCCATATAGCTGTTGTATAAGGCATAGGATCCGGAATTGGAATAACCCGTGCATGCCGGATAAAGTTTTGATTGATTTTCACACTGGAACCAACTAAACGGCATAATATAGACCAATGTTGTAACGAAACCATAATTTATACGCCATCAAGACATAATGACTTTAAAACGGAATTTATCTAAAATATGTAACAAAATTTACTTGTACCCGTTATAAACTCGTTCTACGACATTATTTAGCACAATTTGATATTGTTTTATTAATACAATAAAGCTTTTATTAAGAAATGAAAAAATATAAACATTACGAACTCTTTAGACTTATCCAAGATTCAACATTGTAAGACTATGAAATCCGTAAATTCCAGTTGTTTTTTAAGAAAAAAGGCGTTAGTTTTATTCAATTCTAAAGTGAATCGGTTTAGAAAATGGCAGTTTAATATTGATATGGAATTAAATGCATTGAACGTTTATAGTCTATCTGATTGCTTATCAAAAATATACAAATATATATAAAAGAAAAAAAAACGTATTGTTCGTGATATGTAAGCACACACATTAAGATTATGAATGAAAAATGAAAGAGGTTCACTATTCTAATTTGTTTTTGGAGCGTCTGGATGTGTATATTGATAGTAAGCAATTCTGGCTAATTGTTATGCTTCAACCATTCCCATAAGAAAATCAATTGTTCCAAGAAAATAATTTTACGGTATAATAACCATGCAGTAACGGGTCCAAATTAATCCAGTAGCAAATAACGAAATCGATTGATTCAACGATAATTTCTCAGCTGGCCTGAATAAATCACCAATACCAGCTGCCACTAATGAACTTTTCATAACGAGAGACTAAAAATGAACATATTTTGGATCAGTTAAAAGAAAATAGAACATCGTAATTAAATTACTTTAATATCAGACATCGATAAACTGAGACAGTAATTCAATATTCCATTACTATCTAGGAATTTTACACTAATTAATCCAAAAGCTTACAAGGGAACATCTCAAGTGTCCTACTAAGAATGAGTTCAAACATAGCTGATTACGGGTAACTTTTGACGTTGATCACAAATCTGATATCCATTGCCGCCATCATTACTTTCTTGAATGGGTCTCTAAAGTCCGAATTCCTAGAGATCCACTATGAACTGTGACATGAACCACCGGTTCTGATACAGCCAAATTGTAGAGCATATTGAGTTACCTATATCTGCAAGTTCTTACACTTAAAGAGAGAGTTGTCTCACTGGGATATAAAAATTTTATTTTACGAAATATTAGATATTTTGAGTTTTATGAGAATAATAAAATTTTTATATCTCAGTGAGACAATTCTCTCTTTAAGTGTAAGAACTTGAAGATACAGGTAACTCAATATGCTCTACAATTTGGCTGGATCAGAACCGGTTCATATTAAAGTTCGTAGTGGATATTGATGAACATATCGCAAGACACTTGTCATCTTGAACTCGCTTTGTTAAAAATATTTTCCTATTGTACATGTTCATGATCTTTGGTCAACTAGAAATTGAATTGATCTCCGAAAATTCAGACTTCAGTAATGGTGGCAGCAATGGATATCAGATTTATGATCAACATCAAAAGTTACCCAAAATCAGCTATGTTTAAACTCATTCTTAGGGGGACCCTTGGTAATATTCCTTTGTTAGACTTGAAACTACCATTCTAGAAAACATTTGCATTATCTTAATGAGTGTTTTGCCTTTGAAAAAAGGTCTATAGAATAGAAAAGAAATATATTTCTAACTTACCCGGATGTTCCCATTTGACAAGTTGTTTCATCGATGGTGACAAAACACGATCTCCAACTGCCACCAAGGCACGATAAATATCAGATAATATAAACATTGCAAGATTTATGGCATTTGATTACTAACAATTAAAAAATTGGATACTAATGAATTTAAAGTGCAGCGTATTATATTTTTACTAACCTATTATTGTGTTCAACAATACGTAAATTTAGACGATCAATTTTTCTCTAAGTGAAACACAATAAGCGTGTGGTCGCCATCACTTTTTTTCCCCTTTTTTGTTCTGTTCTTTTGTTTGTAAAATAATAACTCGAATATTAATACAAACGTGAACATAATAAATTTCAGCTCTTTTTTGTTGATTTTTTCCTATGATGTACGGGCGTGATCTATAAATAAAGTAAACATTTATGAATAGACTCTATTATCACCTCAACAATTTCTCTTATCGAGTGCTTGAACAAAGAAAAATAGGGATATAATATTATATTCTATCGTTTACGACCAGTTCATTAAACAAACGTTTTACAACATTAAAAGTAAAAGGATAAGTTTTCATTACAAATGAATTCTGTGAACAAGACAAAAATGTTCGTGTATGACATATTCAAAAATAGTGAGTAGAATTTTAATGCATCAACTGAATGCACAGATTTTGATTCTAATTGAACTAATAAATGGGTAGAGTGACAGTAATAAGTATTATTAGTAGAGTGACAGTAATGAGTATTATTAACTACCCAGTGTCATAGTTTCTTCGGTTGAAAATCTCAAACAAACGCTTTTTGATTTAAAATTTTTTTGGAAGAAATCGAATAAACATGTAAATATCATTTTTTTTAAAAAAAAACACATTTGTTTGAAACTTTTACTCGAAAAAGTGTCGACTGAACTGTTCTATGTCTTTTTTTGTTTCGTCTCTGGTATTGAATATTTTTGGCGATTAACACGCACCTACGATACGAGTTGAGGGCTTGTCTTAGAAAAAAGAATACTTTGACATATTCTTCTCAATGTTTCAAACTGAAAAATTTATCTTAGTTATAAAAAAAATTTGATTTATAGTGTGTCGGTATGATAGTAGATGTTTTTAGATCATTGCTCGGTTATAATATCATAAAAATAAATGAAAACTTGATTATCTTTTTATTTTACTTAAATTCAATGACCTATACTAAGATTGACATCCCTGTTAAGCATGTTGATACAGAGAACAAAACTGTTAATTAATAAATATAATATAAAATAAAAAGCAGAAGAAGTCAGATTTAAAGCGAGATTCTAGCTCAGATTAAAATATCTCACACTATGCTGATGTAAAACAAGGAGAAACTGAGTAATTAAACAGAATTAAAAAATATAGTTATTATGTGATAGTTTTAGATGATTAGTAGAATAGAAAAAGAACAATTACAACTTGTGATAAGATTTCAATTATCAAGTTGAGTTCAATTTTTTTTTGGTTCTTCCGGATGTGTATAACGATAATAGGCAATTCTGGCAAGTTGCTGACCTCCCACAAATGAGAGAAAAATATTAACCGCAAATAACATATAATTTTTTGGTATAATAACCATCGAATAACGACTCCATATTGTGCCTGAAAATAAAACACAATCTAGTCAAATACTTTATCGAGAACAATCATGATTTAATCAAAACTAGTGCTAAAAAGCGACTTTTTTTGAAGAATGCTCTACAAATTTCCTTTTTGGCCTATTGTGCAAATACTTCGTATTAAACTTTTAGGGATTGAAATCCATCAGGTAAACAGATTAGAGTCAAAATTTTAGATTAAAATTTTCTAATAACAAGACAGTCTTCTAATATGGTGAAAAGAAAAGTAATATCAGACGTTTTTCTGCTTATATCTGGACACAGCTGCGTTACTCACTCTTTATCAAGAATATTTGGTTGGAATCTAGAGTTATTCAGATTCGAAAAAAACAAAGTTTCTCGATTTTGTTGACAACACTTGCACAAAATTACGACTTAGAAATGATGTTGGATTTCCAGAATGGAGCATTTAAAATTGGTTAGCGTTGTATACCGTTGCAAAGTATGTTCAACTGGGATGCACAATGCCATCATTTTGTACAATCGCTCTCAGAGAAAACAAAACGCATAAGTTTCTACGCATAGCAAATGGTGACAGAGGGCTGCCAGAAGTTATAGGCAGCGCAAGATGCAGAATGGAACTGTTCATATGATACATTTTTCTCAGATTCATCAAGAACTACAAAAGTCAAATTTGTTTCAAACAAAAATAGACACTTGAATCGACATGGACAATATGAAGATCGCGTTCTGATATAAAAAAAATGTCAGAGATCCGTAATATACCATAGAAAAAACTGAACAAAGAGCTACATTGATGGACACTAGGTTTTAATGTCTTAAAAAAAAATTTCCAGCAGAAAAAAAATTACTTAAGTTGCACTATTTAGTCAAAAATAAATCGCAACACTTGACACTCACCGGTTGCAAACAAAGATAAAGATTGATTTAATGATAATTTGTCTGCCGGACGAAGCACTAAAATATTCAATGTATGGTATGAAATCGTCATGAAATTTATATCTTCTCGATCATAGAATGAAAAATCGCTGATAGAATCAACTTATCAATTCTTTTCGATCTAACAATCGAGTTTACTGCACGAATAACTTACTATCTCCGAAACCAGCACCAACCAACGACCATTTCATAACCGGAGCCCAAAAATGGATGTATTTCATTCCGGCTGAAAAAGTATAGATAAATATTACAATCACCTTTCAGACAACTAAATGAAAAGATACTTGACCTGGATGATCCCACTTAACCAGCTAAAATATGTAAATCGTCTGTATTATCAACACTAACTACTTTAATTAATAAGAAAACGTACCTGTTTCATGTTTGGTGTTAAGACCTTATCTCCCATGCCCACGGCAACACGATACAAATCAGAGAGAATAAGCATTCTGATGAAATTTTATTTTTAATTTTATTCTAAAAAAATATTAACAAACGAATGATATTGCAAAATTCACACGTAAAACGCTTACAAACTATTTTAGATGAATGAAGCATACTCACATAAAGTGAGTATCGACCTCTAGATAAAACATCTCATTCCCTTTTTATTTTAAAAATGTTGTGTCGAAAATCACAATGACAACAAATTCGTAACATTTTCATTCATGCGTAGTATTAAGAAGAATAAACAACGATAAACATGCAAAAAAAAACATAAAAATAAAAATCTCATCATCAAACATCATTATTAGATAGATAGTAGAGAGAGAGAGAGGTAGGAGACAATAGACATAAGAATAAGAGAAGAGAGTTTTTTTTGCTAGTTCTTAGACGGTTACAAACGAAAAATATAAATGCATTGGTGAGTAGAAAGGCACCGAAGTAAGAATGAGCAATTATGGTAAGAAACGACTGATGAAGAAAAATAAAAGGTAGTCAATTGTACTTAATACAAAGAAACAAAAGATTAGAGTTGAATCGTCTAATAATTAAACAGAAAAACGATAAATTCTTCTTTTGCCAAAATTTTTTAATCATTTTTTCTACATATTTTCATAATATGTTGTTTTTTTCTAAAGAAATATAAGGAAAGATGTTTTTTTTTTCTTTAAAATCTTTGTACTAAAATTTATCTGCTATCTGTTCAGTAGTGTAGCTGATTATTTCAATTTGAATAAAAAATTGTACTACTTTGACTCTTCAATATAACACTGTTAAATAGGATAGTACAAAAGTGCTGTTTGTTTTGAACAAAACTCAATTTTAGTATGATAGGAAAACTCAATCTCTCAATAGATGTATAGTTTTAGTAGTAATCTCTTGGAATAAAAGAAAAGATGCGCATACATATTCAAATTAGATGACATAGAAGCATAAAATCGTGATAAGGCAATATAAACAATAAAACTGACTCTTAATTATGCATGTCATGCTTTGGTATACTTGAAATATAACAAGAAAAACAAAAATTTTAAAATTTGTTTATATTCTGCTTCGAGGTTACTAGAACCGGTCAGCATTCAGAGTAGCATAAATTATGAATTTCTCTATCTGTGTTTACTAGTATCATATTGCACTTAATTAATAGCAAAAACAGAAAAAAATCGATAGGAAAAAAGAAAATCATTGCATTTTATCGAGACACAAAAATACACACACAACCTTAAATATAAACGACAAAAAAAAAAAAAGTGAAACAAAAAATATTTCCAAATATTGTTACTGTCGTCTAAGAAAAGAATGAGGAAATGAACCCGATATAATGCATCAAACAAAATAAATAAAGTAAAATGACTGACTGAGAAAAAATATTGACTGTTTAAACCAATACGAAAAAAAAAACAAATAAAAATAAATGAATAACAAGAAGAAGAAAAAAAATATATAGAGATGTTTTAACTAAAACCGGGCGGTGGTGATCCAACATCGACTAGTATATGGGTGAATAATGGATATGCGGTGACATTTGTTAAATTATATTTCACCGATGATACACCGTCCCATGAATAACGTTTAGCAGCTGAATATAATAATTTAGCGCGTTTATTCCATATAGATGGTGTACGTTTTGTATGTTGTAACATTTTATAACGTCCAATTGATGGGGGTGGACGAATAATTTTTAACGATACTTCTTTTAGTCTATAATATAAATCGTCATCTTCTGCTCCCCACCCCCAATATAAATTAGAATAACCATTTACCATAAGAAAATGATCTGATTTTAATGTTAATACACCTCCCACTAATTCTTCATAGGTTAATCTTAAAATAAATTGAAAAAAAAGTGTAAAAAAAAAGAATAAAATTAATTATTTATTGAATACAGATAGAATATCTCTTCTTTAAAGAATACAAAAGTATTAAAGAAAAATATATCCATTCTAGAATGCCATTTTTGTTTTCTATGATTCTAAATTTTTACTGTAGGAAAAAAGAAACCTATAGATAAATATCCACTATTATTTATCTGTTATCAAATACAAAAACTAACAACACTAGAATTTTACATGTACAACAGAGATAGAATCAGTTCGATTTGGACTCATTATATTCATTAGAAATTGAACTATATTGGAAATATGAATCGGATGCGCCGACCGTCACCATCAATATTTAATTCGTCAAAGACAAAAGAGAAGAAAATCTAAATCCACAAAAGTCTATTCAAATATTGATGTTGAAAACACGAACATGTTCTATATGATTGACAAAAAAAATGAATGTGTTGTGTTTATATTACGATTAAATTATTCCTGATCAAAAATAAATCTCTACTTCAGTATGAAACGATATTATCTGATGAGAAGTAGATTCCTGTGTATTTCATCACTTTTTGTTTCGAAAAAGATTTTCAATTTCAGTCTCGTTTGATTTTGAAAAAGTAGAAAACTCGATCTCATCTCTGATGTACAAGGAAAATAATTATTTACGTTTTTTTCTCTGTCTTACAACAAGAACAAAAACATACCGCTGTTCTTTGATTTAACTTTAATTCGTCCCTAATTATTTATCTCTATTCACTTTTGATCTTACAAAGTTAATCAGGCATAGATCGAATGAACACCTTTGATACAGAAAAAACTAACGAGTAAATAAAAAAAAAAAATTATTGTTCTATTCGTACTCTTTACTTTGCTATAAACTCAAAATTTGACTCTTATTTCAAACTGACATTCCAGAATAGACTTTTCACTTATTGTCCTTCTTACTTGTAATCCATTTCATCGACGGCTACGGACATATGTCTGGGATATAATGGACATGAATACATATTTCTATCATCTTCGGGTATCAAATCAACATCATGAAATACAAAACACTGAAAATCATATTCGGATGATGCGTAGATAAAAGCGGCATTCATCAAAACAGCTTTATTATAAGTACCATTTCCAGTCTAAAATAAAAATAAAAACAAAAAGTTAAAAAAAAAAATCGAACTTAAAGATATTTGAACGGAAATCATGTCAATTCAATGTTAACGAATATCAACAACAAATGTGCAATTGTACACACTTACGAGGAAAGGACACCAACTGGCAAATCGCTTTTGGCCTAAAACTAAGTGGAAAATAGGTTATCGGCTATGCTGATTCCGAATATGACAATGGTTTGGGCTGATAGGCCTTTGGAGATCGGGTCCCTGGAAACCTGGTTTTCCAAGGCAAAAGTTTTATCGTTTCTAAAAACTTTTCCGACTCGGTCAGATGAAAGAGCATTTCGCGAAAGCTATAAAAAACATATTTTCAAAATTTTCCGAAGGTTTTTCGACAGTTTTCGTAACACTTTCCAGAAAAATCCAAGGTTCAGCCTCCAAAAAGTGTCTGAAAA